GAAAAAAAAGGATATGCACCACAGACAGGAGGGATTCTCACCTCCGGCCTGCGGTCCAGTCACAGCCACGGAGGGTCTGCCCCGGAGGGTCTGCCCCGGAGGGTCTGCAGGCGGCAGGAAGGTGCCGTCAGCTGCCCTCAACCCTCACAACAGGGAGCTGGGCCCTGGCCGGTGTGGCTGTTGGCTGAGCACGGTCCGTGCACCGAAGGTCACGGGTTCGATTCCCAGTCAGGGCACATGCCTGGGTGGTGGGTCTGGTTCCTAGTCAGGGTGCATGAGGGAGGCGACCAATCAATGTTTCTCTCTCCACCCTTCCTCTTTCTAAAATCAATAAAAATGTATTTAGGGAACATGTAGGAAGCAACCTATCAGTGGGCCTCTCCCACATCAATGTTTCTCTCTCTCTCTCTCTCTCTCTCTCTCGCACCCCTCCTTCCCTTCTACTCTCTTTAAAAATCAATGGAGCCGAAACCGGTTTGGCTCAGTGGATAGAGCGTCGGCCTGCGGACTGAAAGGTCCCAGGTTCGATTCCGGTCAAGGGCATGTACCTGGGTTGCGGGCACATCCCCAGTGGGAGATGTGCAGGAGGCAGCTGATTGATGTTTCTCTCTCATCGATGTTTCTAACTCTCTATCTCTCTCCCTTCCTCTCTGTAAAAAATCAATAAAATATATTTAAAAAAAATCTCATTAAAAAAATAAAATAAAATAAAAATCAATGGAAAAAATATCCTCTGGTGAGGATTAAAATAAAAAATACAAAAAAAAAGAATCTGGGTTACCCGGGTGGCCTCAATGTTTATGGGACGAGGGAGGAGGAGGGGGAGCGCCTGTGCAGGGGCATCAGTCAGGAGTGCAGGAGCCTCTCGGAGCTGAGAACAGCCCTTGGACGATGCTCTGCAAAGACCCGGACCCTCAGTCCCAGGACGCACAGAGCTGAACTGGGCCAGCAACCCGGTGCGGCCTCCCAGTGAGCCCCACCCCCGCCTGGCTGACATGACCACGGCCATGTGACCCGGAGCAGGAAAACCAGCCGGGTCTGACTGACAGAACTGAGACAATCAGTGTGTGTGACTGTTTTTAAAACTTACCTTTATTGTTGGAAGTATTACAAACGCCCCTTTTCCACCATTGACCCCTTCTAGCCCACCCGCTCTCCCTGCCCAGTGTGTGTTGTTTTAGGCTGTTGTGTTCATGGTGAGAGAGAACAGACTACACGCAGCCCGCAAAGCCTAAAACACTTGCTATCTGACCTCAGATGCTGGGGATCAAGCAGTGACCCCAACAGACGGAGAGCCTGCCATCAGGAGCGGGGAGCAGCAGCCTGGGGGCTCAGGGCAGGCGAGCAGCTCAGTTTTAGAAAACACGAGTCACAGGCCACAGGCAAGCGGGGTGCCCACCTCAGGACACCCTGGGGAGCGGCCGGGCCCAGGCCTCCAGGCCCAGGAGGGCTCCCTGCTTAGTGCACTGAGGTGAAGCTGGGCCCACTTTCTCTGGCTGCTGCAACCACCACCAGACTCAGCACCAGGGGAGCAGTGACCTGGAGCCCATGGGGACGGCAACCTGGAGCCCATGGGGACGGCGACCCGGAGCCCATGGGGACGGCGACCTGGAGCCTGCCTTCCTCTGGACGTGGCCTCGCCCGCCCTTTCCCCTTTCTGGACCTTCCCCGTCACCTTTCGCTGTGAGCACTGGTCTGGAGGACCCGGCTCACCACCCATTCCCAGCAGCGCCCCAGAGGGATCCCCACCTGGACAGCAGCCCTGGGCGAGACCGTGCTCCACCACCCACAGCTCAGCGCCTCGCTCCAGCTGGGAGATGACTTCCGGTTTGGGAAGCTCAGGCCCTGGAAACAGAGAGACTCGGAATGTGGGTTCTGCTCGGGACACGAAGCAGCTGCCCCGCCCCCAGCCCTGGACCCCTGACCGCCAGGCGGGGAGTCTCACGCAGGAGAAGGCTCTGCAATGGGACAGAGAGGGGCGGACACCTCCCCGTCCACAGGTCCCTCGGGGACGGAGAACCCCAGGCTCTACGGCCTGTTACCCATGAAGAATTAGGGCAGGAATCTGCTCTCAGCTCGGGCGGCGGCCTCACCCACGGAGAGCAGGTGCCCGAAGGTCTCCAGCATCACGTCCCGGTACAGCGTCCTCTGCGCCGGGCCCAGCCGCCCCCACTCCTCCGGGGAGAAGTCCACGGCCACGTCCCGGAAGGTCACCGGCTCCTGAAAGATCACACACAGGCTCATCAGCTGGGTGTCCCCTCAGCGCTCGCAGGAAGAGGAGGCGTGGGGAGGAGGAGAGAGTGCACCTTCTGGGATGTGAGCCGGGTCCCGCTGGCACCCACTGGGCTTCTACATGTCCTGTGGACGGCACAGCGAGGACATGTGAGAGCCGCCAGCAAGATCGAACCACCCACCGCAGACCTACAACTGGTCTCAGACAGGTGAGGGTGCGGACAGAGACCGTCCGCGCTCCTGCCTCTCAGATCCGTGGGCCACAGAACGGCGGCTGTCGAGGCCCTGGGCCTGGGATGGTTTGTTATGCATCTACAGTTCACACGACCCCTCAGACTCAAAGCCAGTCCTGGCCGCTCTGACAAGAGGGCTACAGTGAAGAGTCAGAAACCCCCTGCCCTCGGGGACCGAACAGGCTCCCGGTGCTGGCGGGGCCAGTGCAAGCGTTTAACCCGAGGGTGACACTGGAGGGGACAGGGAATGGGCCCCGTGTACAGGGGCAGCTGGACTCAACTGACTGTGGGGAAACGCGGCCTCCAGTGGTCAGAACTGCCCGTCTCTGGTGAGAAGCTGAAAATTAGGTCATGTTTTCAAGGGAAAACTCTTAATTTTTAGAAATTGATACAATGCACTTAAAACGTGCCCCACAGCCCTGGCCGGTGTGGCTCAGTGGATAGAGCATCGGCCTGTGGCCTGAAGGGCCTCAGGTTCCGTTCCAGTCAAGGGCACGGACCTCGGTTAGAGGCTCGGTTAGAGGCTCGATGCCCGGGCCTGGTCAGGGTGCGTACCAGAGGCAACCAGTCGATGTGTGTGTCTCTTCCTGTCTCTCCCCCTCCCTCCCACTCTCTCTCAAGATCTACAGAAAAATGTCCTCGGGTGAGAACTGACAACAACAAAGAGCAGCAGGGAGCACGGACCCACACGGGCTCCTCGTTTCCTGTCTCCGCGGGGCTGTGGCGGGGCCTGCGTGGCTGTGAGACACGTCCTCCAGGACAAGCAGGGAGCCGCGTGCAGAAGCATAAAGTCGGTCCCCGCCTCACATAAACGTGAGCGGAAGCGACTGAACTCTTCGAAGAAAACACAGGGATAGTCTTCATGCCCTTGGACTTGGCAAAGGGCTCTTAGAGACGGCAGCAGAAAGCACAGCAGGAAGGAAACGAACGTCCTCAACATGAAAAACGTTTCTGCGCCAGAGGAGACCCAGCGAACAGACACCACGTAATGGAAGAGACTAATTGCAAAACACACTAATCTGATAAAAGGTCTGTATCCAGAAGATACAAAGAAATCTTACAACTCGATAATAAAGGCCACATAACAAAACTCACAAAGGAGCTAAAAGAAAACCTCCAAGCAGACAGAGCCCCGGCAGGGAGAGCGCCGCCCCATAGGCCGAGGGTGCAGGTGTGAGCCCAGGTCGGGGCACGTGCAAGAACCCACCAACGGGCTGGACAGAGTGTCTCGTCCGGCGCCCTCCCCTGCGCAGAAGCGTTGCCCAGGACACATGCCTGGGTTTCGGGCTCCATCCCCAGTGGGGGGGCGTGCAGGAGGCAGCTGACCCATGTTTCTATCTCCCCGCTCCCCGCTGCTTCCTCTCTCGCTAACAATCAGGGGCTGAGCATATACCTAGGAACCAGGAGGTCCCGGAAACACCACTCAGAAAGGATATCTGCACCCCTATGTTCACAGCAGCACAATTCACCACAGCTAAGATCTGGAAGCAGCCTAAGTGCCCATCAGCAGATGGGATTAAAAAACAGTGGTACATCTACACGATGGAATACTATGCTGCTGTAAA